AGAAGGGGAAGAAGAAGGGCAAGAAATAAAGGAGCTGAGATCTATCTACCTGTCTACCTATCTACACAGCGAAGGGGTTCACATGAAAACTGCATTGGTGGGAGCAGGGTGTTATGTTGTGTGGCGTGGAGCAAGGTTGGCCAACGGCATGGAGTGGGCTATCTACACCGTCACGGGGTTAGATCATCAGATAGAAAGATTTGAAACATGTCAAACAACGTTAAAATCACACGCTTCACAATTGCCATCTAGAGAGACCTGCCCGTGCTTCGTTCGTAATTATGTGTCTGTATTTTCCTAAGTAAGCTCCCCTCGACGCCCAGCGAGGCCTCGAAAATACAGCAACCGAAAACCAAGTGTCCAACCAAGAAAAAGATGCGGACGTGCTCTCTTTCTGTCTCACTCTCACTCTCACTCTCACACACTCTCTCTCTCTCTCTCAGACAAAACATCCGCTTCTTGCTTGCTTCTCGCGTCTTGCTGACCTTGAGCCCTTGATTCATGCCGTTGAGCTTGGTGGTTGTCATAGTCATGTGACGCCATAGTCTTTCCCTTTTTCTCTAGAAAAGAATAACATAAAATACGAGACAGCTTTTTTGTAGTGGAGGAGGAAAAAAAAGACCGCAGTTATGAACCCTCGCCCATGCCGCTATTTGTACAGAAAAAAAGCACTACAGTTTTTGACTTTGACGCTGGCTCGAGAAGCACAAGAACAAGGACACCGTGACAAAATGGGTTACGTACGTACGTAGCAGCTTCGCTAGACCAGAAAAGGAGAGTAAAAGAGTTCTATGCTGAGCTGGATGGGCAGTAGTAGTGAGTAACCCCCTTCTGCTTGCGGTGGGATGCAAAAGGATCGTTGCAGCAATGCGTTCGCCGTGTTCATTAAAGTCCTTCATAGAATAATAGTCGTTGGTCGCTGGTTAAGTCCCTCAGGCGGTGACCGCCTGTAATGGAGGACTAGAAATTCTCTCCTTTCCCTCCACTGACTTGCTGTGTTCTTCATCATTGGAGCCCTCCGGCTCCGGTGACGCAGGAGGCTCTGGTGTGAAGAACTGTGCTTGACGAGCGCTTGTCGGGGCGCTGGCGTAGTCGCCCTCGTCTTCGTCTTCGGCGCCGTCATCTTCATCCTCTTCCTCCTCATCTTCTTCGTCTTCTTCCTCAACTCCTTCCGCCTCGATAGGCGGCAAAGGAGTTCGCCTTCCATCGGAAAAGCTCACCGCAGCATCGCTGTCTTCGTCAGATGGGATGGTGAGATTTCCGCCAGACGAAGCAGCTTTGGCTGCTTGCGCAGTGCTGTACTTTCTATGCAATTCCCTGAAGCTTCTAGCAGTTGCGGTGCTCGCGCTGGCAGCCGACTCACGGCGATCGGAAGGTCCAGCGTGAGACTGGAGGATGGTGCGGAAATCCGGCGCTGTAGAGCTACCGCTCTCAATAATTACTGCTTGTTGTGCAGACTTGCGAGCGCGGATGCGTTCATCTGGTGACATGCTTGGAAGATCTGGACCGAAGTTGATAACAGACGCTTTCTTGCCATGGACCAAGAATGAGCCTGATCCGCGGGTAAGTGTGTCGGCGTCGCTTGCAGCATCATCTGTAGCAGCACCCGGAGTCGAGTCCTTGCCTTTCCTGCTACGAGCATGTGACAGATGGCCTGCACCCTCCCTAAGAGTGCGTTGTAGGCTACGACGGATCTTAGAACGATCCTGTCCGCCCGTAGAGCTACTGGGAGGGATGCCTTCACGACCTTCATGGGCACTTTCACCACTGTCGATCGCTGCTGCTTGTTTCTTCGATTCAGGGCTACGACTTGGGTCTACCACAACCAAGCCAGCCTGCTCAAGTAGACCCCTTTCACCAGCATCGGGCTCCAGATGGTCTTCGACTGGGGTTTTCGCGGAGCTAGAGCTTCCAATCTTTCGTGGTGGCGTGGCAGTGATGGAAAGATTCGAGGAGACTGCACTAGAGACAGATCCTTTCCTAAGAGCCTCAGCGTCCAAGTTTTTGGTAGGTAGATCCCAGGAGTTTTGATGTCTGTGGAAAGACGGAGCAGTAGCGCTTGTCGGCGGTGTTGTGAAAACATCAGTCATGGGCGAGTCGACATCAGGCTGCTCACCAACAACAGGGGTCTTCTGCAGAGACAATGCGGCGGGCGACTTGGGGCTCTTTGGCATGGCAGTGCCACTGCTAGCCTTGGACCTCTCGCGAGCAAGAGAAGTCTTGTCAGCCGAGAGGGATTCGACACTGCCCTCTGCTGGAAGACCCATCAAGAGCCGTTCTTCTTCGAGATCCATGAGAAGGATGTCTCGATGACACTTCAGTTTCCAAATCTCAACACGAGTCCACTTCAGTTGAGCAGCGAGACGTGCAGCAGACATCAGCATCTGGTCTCGGGTTTTTGGCTGGACAGGCGCAAGAATTTGGAGATGCCGCGCGTTCCTAAGCTGCAGTTCCAGTTTCTTCTCCTCATGCTCAAGCGTGTTATTAGCATCAGACACCTTCTGGAACATGATTTCTCTTCTAGCAGCCAGGATATCCTCAGCCATCTTGTGATCTATCCGCGACCGAGCGATGGTGACTTCACCGGAAGCCGTCAGTACCGACTCAGAATCGAGTCTTCGTAGTGCTCTCCGGCTCTGTCCGTCGTAATTACCGCCGACAACGCCTCGCATGCGAACACCTGACGTCCTGAAAGCAGCTGCATAATTGAGCTTCGCTAGCCAGTCATTCATTTCTACCTCGTTATCGGCAATCAAGATCTCTTCGAAGCCCCCGTGCCTCACGTACACGAAGGCATTTTTGTGCTTCTTGTAGGTGGAGTCCATGAGGGCGACAGCACCGTCTGTCGAAATCAGAGCATCTGGCTTGAATTGATCCAATGGGGGTTTGAAGATGATGGGTATACCGTCATGGCCTTGCTTCAGATGACTATCGTATTGATGCATGAGGTTCTTGACCCAGGCCACATTCCGGAAGAAGTAAAGTTGAGCCCCGGTGAGAATGGCACCCCATTCTTGCCAGGGGGATCTTGTTTTCTTCTTTTTGAGATCCTTCCGCCAGAGTAAACCGACCTTGGTGATCTTGATATCTACTACTCCGGGCTGCGCTTCTTGGGGGTTCGTCGCGGTCTTTTCGGACATGAAAGCATCAGGACGAGACCGGGCAGAGACGATCTGGAGAATGCCAGTCCGGAAAAAGGTCTTCTGTAACTCCTTGAGGTCGAGAGTTTTCGCTGTCCCAAGGTAGCTGTAGTGGTCTTCCAGATGCATGACTTCCTTCAGGTTCGGCCTTAGTATGTCAAGCTTATGATCAATAATGAGCGTGTACGGGTCGATTGGTTCCTTCGTAGCCTTTTTCAGTGTGGCCTCTGGTGTGGTATTGGTTGGAAAGATGCCCTTCTTTTTTGTTTTGTGAGAAACAATTCGTTCACCATTGATATCCAAATCATCTTCAACGTGAATGAAAGGAGTATAGGTGATGTTGTCATAAAAGACTTCCAGAATCTCATCGAAGATGCCTTCTCCTCGCGTATTCTTGATGTAGTCAGGCTTCTGCATCTTGTGCTTATTGTTCTTATTGAACACATCGGTGTGTAGAATAAGCAGGGAGAAGGCAATGAAGTATGCCTGATCTGGCGTCGAGTAGATACCAGGGTTACATTCGTGATAGCGATTGGCGAATGCTTGGAGAAATCTGTCAATCTGCTGGGTCTCCTTGGGAAGTTCCGCTTCCATTAGGAGTTTTCGGATTGACATATCCATTGGATCCCCAAAGAAGCTAAATCTTCGCATGTAGCTTCGTAGGACAGCTAGAGAAAAGGGATCGGTGTTTTTCGATAAGGCGCTGGCAATAACACTACGACTGACAACTTCTTCTAGTCGGTCTAGATACCTGGCAGGATTCTCATCTTCCCGACGCTCAGGCAGATGTATCGATTCCCTCGGAAGCTGGAAGGAGTTGTTCTTGGATGTACTAGACCCAGGAGTTGCCGGCGTCAAGGAGCCTTGTCGGCCGTTGACAGGCTCTGAGTTGTTCCTCAACCTGCTGAGACTCAGCAGATCTCCAAAGCTCTTCCGCCCTGTCGAAGACGAAGTACGGGTTGTGGGTGGAGCCAGTCGTTCGTCCATCGATTCCCTCCCCAGAGAACTGAGCGTCGAAGATCTCCCTCTAAGATGTAGATGCGACCTCGTCGGAGAGGACTGACCACTGTTCGTTGACCCAGGACGGAACAGGGCAGTTGCTGGCGATGGATTGGCCTTCTGGAATATGGTCTTGGCCGGTGACCGTGCCGGTGGGGTAGCGACATTGGTGCCCGAGGACGGGCGAGACTGCGTGGGAGTTTGGACAGGTCCAATGCCCGGACGTGAGGCTGCTGACGAAGTGCTCATCCGCACAGAATCCGGCGTGCCGCTCACGAGCGAGGAGTTCGATGCGCCCGCGTCTCCTCCACCAAGAGGCGCTCCTTTCTGAAGGTGTGATATCGGAAATAGCGGCTGCGGCTGTTTCTGCCGCCTGCGGGGAAGTCGAAAGAAGTTACTCGTGGCACTGCCGGTGTTTGTTGTGCTGGAGTATGCTCGGTCCCCGGAGCTTCCGTCAGACCTTGAAGACTCGGACATGCGGTTGGTTGGGAGTGCCAAGGCTGACCCGCCATCTTCACCATTTGCTGAAGCCTGCTTTGATGTTCCAGGGCGTTTGGGCTCCTCGATCGTAATAGACTGTTTGCTGCTCGTCGATGCTGCTCGTGGCATCATTGTCCTTCGCTTATCTTTCTTGGCCTGAGCCTGGTCCTTGGCAACACCCAGCTCGTCCTGACTTGG